GCTCACGCTACAGCATCACATGGGCGGGGCAGACCTAATTGCTACCTTCTACGGTGCTTTGAAAAAAGTGAGCGTCCAATGCAACTTTGCAGGTTGTTGGAGGGCTTTTCTTGGGAGGAGGTATGAAAATGGTTTTGTAACTCGTATCCAGGATGATGGTTCCGAAGCCAGCTTGGGAGGTGCCCAAATGAGCGGCTCAAACTCCCGTAAGACCATTCTGCAGGTGTCCACCTTCCAGATGACCATCCTCATGCTCTTCAACCACAGAGAATGCTGCACTTTTGAGGTTGGTTGCATCTAAAGCTTCATCCCATACCTCCGATTAAGACTTTCAAGCCATAAATGAAATGCTTTTTTTTTTTTTTTAAAGGAGATCCAGAACGAGACAGACATTCCCAGATGGGAGTTGGTGCGGGCGTTGCAGTCTTTAGCCTGTGGGAAGCCCACGCAGAGAGTTCTCACCAAAGAACCAAAGTCCAAGGAGATTGAAAACGGACATTTGTTTACAGTCAATGACCAGTTTACTGCCAAAGTGCACAGAGTCAAAATACAGACAGGTGTGTGCATGACAAGACACAGTCGCAGCCGTTTGGACCGGTGATTCTCAACTGGTGGGTCGAGACCCCGAAATGGGTCGCGGAACTGGTTTAGGGTGGGGTTTGGAAAACTACTCCAGAAATAAATCGGAGGGAGACTCGGGTTTATGACGCTACCGGTTGCTGGCGGTTTACGTCACCGGCGTAGGACCAGTATGCTCACCGATTTGCTTTAACCATTGTCACTTAATCATTTAATGAATACATTTACTTTCACGATTGTAATTTCATTTATTTTGAATTGAAACATGGGTCCATCCTAACATTGAAGCAGACAACTCATCAACTTGTACCCTGTGTGCTCCCTAGTCGCTGCCAAACAAGGGGAGTCTGACCCGGAGAGGAAAGAGACACAGCAGAAAGTGGATGACGACCGGAAGGTTATGATCGAAGCCGCCATCGTACGCATCATGAAGTCCAGGAAGAAGATTCAGCACAATGTCCTGGTGGCCGAGGTGAGTATTATTTTAATTTTTTTTTTTTTTGTCTCCTGGTGTTGACAGCTCAAATCGCCGCCATTTGACACAGTGTCACTTGGATGTGCTCAGGTGACTCAGCAGCTGCAGGCGCGCTTCCTCCCCAGCCCCGTGGTCATCAAAAAGCGCATCGAGGGACTTATAGAAAGGGAATACTTGGCAAGGACTCCAGAGGACCGTAATATGTACACTTACATCGCATAGAAGGGGGCTGTGCAGTGGGGGAGGATGGACGTACGCAAATGGGAAAGAGATCTGCACGGAAAATCCATCATCACATCCTCAGAACGTGTTTTCCTGCGATGAAGGGAGCTACTTTTATTTTTGCAACCCCCCTGCGGAGATGAGACGAACCAACCCGATGTGAAAATGTGAATCTGCACCTTATTTTTGTTGTTTCAATACTGTCTAGAAAGTATTTTTAAAATGTAGATTGTTATAAAAAAAAAAACAGAAATAAAGCGTATGATGGCTCAATTACTCATAACTGGAATACGCTGAAGCCATTTTCATTTTCTATCATTGTATTTCTACATTGAGAATTTAAAAAAAAAGCTTTATTAAGGAAAATGTTTGATAGTTGTTCTCCTGGGAGTTCTTTTTTTATTTCATTGGAAGAATTATTAAAATATAATATGGTATTTGATACTTTGATCCACATTTTAGCATTTCTTTGTAAACGTGGCTTGTCTTTGTTCGTACCTTTCTGTGTGGAGTTTGTTCTCTTGCATTTTCTCCAGGTATATTGATTTCCTCCCACCCAAATTTACCACCAAATGACGACTCTAAATTTCCTATTTAGTAGAAAAGATCATTCATTCAAATGGAGACACGTGCATTCAAATGTGCTAAATGAAATGCGGGGCACACAAAATTCCACGATGGTCCCAAAATCTAAACTGTCGACCCAAAATTGTGTTTTTCCCTTTAGGACTCAACATGTGTTGATTTTAAGCCCGAGGACATAAGCAAAAACAAGTTGAGTCATAGCTTTGAAAATCTTGATATATTTTTTTTTTTTTACTCAATGCAGACATTTTTGTACCAAAAGTCTATGTCTGCAGCTATTCTAGTTCTAAGATGAAATCTGTACAGTATGGGTATGATGTCTGCGTCTTTGTGCCCTGGTGGAATGAGTCTTCAAAATACTCTCGTACTTTAAATAAGCCACACCAAAATGCATCTCGCTCCGCGTTACTTGATTTAATTGGTTTGAATGGTCAAGATTTATACTACTTGATCCCTCAGCACTTCAGTCGGCTTTGCCTGCACAGCTTTGGCCAGCATCTCCAGCTGAGAGATGAAAGTCAGAACCTCCACTGTAGAACTGCGAGTCCAAGCAAGAGGCAGGTGGGTTGGGACGGCCTTCCGATCTGCGGCACAGACCGTGAACTTTTTATAATGTGACGAAAAGGAAAAGAGGACACCTTCCAGCGAGCGTTGCTGCCACCTTGAAAGAACTTCCCGCTGCGGGTTCCGCCAGCAGCCCTGGATAAGGCCAACCAGACCACGGTGTCGGCTCCTTGCTCTGGACTGCGCAGCCTCTGCGCCATCATACTGTGGAACTGCGGCATTGATTGGGACACGGCTGCGGAAAAGGAAAAGGTCACATTGAGAACATGCAGTGTACTATTTGTGTTATTGATCTGCTCGTTTGTATTGTGTCGAGACTCAACAGACTTGATCTCAAACAGCAAAACGTACGGTTAACTTTTCTCAACACGTTAGTGCCGAATTATTGGTCCAAGATATTGAGGCAAGGAATCAAAAGTTGACTTCATTCGCAAGCAACGATGTCATGTCATGACACTTCCTCATCATCCAATCAAATCGCTCTGATATAATTACCGTAACACAATTTCACCGGCTGGGTTAGAAAATGATTTAGTACAAATATATATCTTTGACAGTACCTGGTGTATCTACCCAGCCGGGGTGCATCACAGAGAAGTGGATGTCAGGGTACTCCTTGGCCCACTGTTCCGTCAGCACCACCTGCTGTCTCTGAGAAGAACAACAAATTATTTATCCTTCAAAGAGGCAGCATCGTCCCCCCCCTCCTAACCTTGTTCTGGGCGTACACCATGAGACCATCAAAGTATCCTTTCTCTGACTGTAAGTCATCAATCTGGAGCTTCTGGACCAACATCCCCCCTGACGACACGGTGATCTAACAGAAGCATAGTTGTGCTGAGAGCCTTGAACAACAGGCACGGCTAACGGCGTGCACAAAAGTGGCACTGTGCAATCCACTGGATCGTGTGCTGGTTCATACCACCCTCGGTTCCCGGCTCTTTTGTAGAAGTGGTATGAGACTTTCAGTGAGAAGGTACATGCCTAATGTGATGGACAAAGGGCAGATATCACTCAGATGATCTCATACATCCTGGATGTGTACAGTACATGAGGTTTTCTCTACCCATTGTATTGATAGCAAAGTTCTTCTCCAGGGCTTCAGTATTCACCTCTCTCTTGTGGATCATGCAGCCCGCGTTGTTTATCTGTTGAAGATAATAAAATTCAGTGTTAGCTTCTACGAAAATATGCAAATTCGTTGTTGTACAGTCCATACCAAGACATGTAAAGATGGATACTGCTTCTTGAAGGCCTCAGCAAATTCCCACACTTTGCGTGATTCTGACAAGTCCACAATATGGACGTACACCTCCTGGAATGAACACCATGATTACTACGCTCTCACTCCAACTTTGCAAAATACAGGGGTCTTCAGTCCACCTTTTGCAGACCTTGCTGATATCTCCGGGCAGGAATTCCAGTGAAAGTCAGTCGTTTTAAACTAAAAAGAAAAACTTTTCTGGATTTAAAAGCAGAATGCTCAAATCCAATCGGAACTCGTTTTCCTACGATTCAGGAATGGGGATTTTGGGTGTGAGTCCAAGGTCGAATTTTGATATATATATATCACACGTGGAGCAACACACGTTTTCTGGGACAGACAGCTGATAGTTGCATGATGTCAATGACTACTTACAGTATTCCCAGATTCATGAATGATATCACCCTTGGCCTCTTCAGCTTTATCTTTGTTTCTACAGACCATGTGCACTCTCCCACCTGCAAGCATAAGTGTTGGTGTCATTTAATTTTGACATAAAGAAATGGCACAACGGTGTGTACCTTTCTTGGCTATAGCCATGGCAGTGGCTTTGCCTATTCCGCTATTGGCTCCAGTGACCATAAAAGACCTTCCCACAACTGAAACATCCAGGTCCTGGGGCTCAAAGTTCTGAGAAGCTGCTTCATATCCCTTTCTACAAGAAGCAGAAATGACATATTGAGCACACGCTTAGCAATAGGATCAGATTGGTTTGGCAATCATCTAAATCTGTGTCCAGATTTTCGTTCATTAGAGTTTGATTGCTGTCATCCTCAACACCAGTGAATCCCAACCGCTGTGCCAGAGAAATCATGAGGTGTGCCGTCGGAAATGATCCAATTTCACTTGATTGATCCGAAAGTATTTTTACTCGAAACAATGTAACTTTGTTCGGCTATCTATGCCAGCGACGTATAGTGACAGGCAGAACAGTGAAATGCTCTTCTACCTTCAACAAAACAGGGCTACATTTCGCACTGAGGGAGTACATTTGTGAATACACTGAGACAATGTCATTATTTCAATAAAAATGTATACTTTTTGCGACATTTTTGTTTACTGCTGTGTGTCAAGTATGTGCCAGCCTGATAAAGGTTGGCCAACACGACACAAGAAAAGACAACTGTCAATGGGACAGTTGTGTTGGTACATAAAGGATGGCTTGTGTGGTGCCATTCAGTGATCAGGCCTTTCATAATTCCTCTATATCAGACCCTTTAGCTTAAAGAAATACACACAAAGAGAAGAACACTAGCACGAATGAGAGATACAATCAGTGATATTACCCACCTATTTAGCATCAGAAAGAATAATGAAAGTAGTTGACTGACCTTGTATATTGGTGCATTCCGTTTAAAAACCAGATGGTGTTTCGGTACAGGGACATGGCATCAAATGGTAACTTTGCAGAAGCCTGAAGCCGCTCGTGTTGCTTTGGACAACCACTGTTACAGACGAGTGTCACGTGGAGCTGGAGGGGAAGTAGCGTCCTGGCGCCCTCTGTCGACACTAAAATAGGTAGACTCATCGGGGGCGTTCCGCAGCTCTCGTACGTCAGTGCGTCCGCCATATTTGATATTTTAATCAAATTATTCTTTGTTGTAAGTTAACTTTTGTTTTTCTTTAATGTTAGTAAGTTGCCAATGTTATGCAGAGGTGTACTTATAACACATTTTTAGCCAAATGGTACTACAGTATTTACACTTGCAGCGGATCGTTGGGTTGCGTGAATGTTTTTTTTTCTTCGGGGGTGGGAGGTTCGTAACAGAAAATAATTGAGTACCACTGTCCCAACCCTATAATCTCAGTACACGACATAAATAGCCTAATTTGCCACATCCAATATGGCAATAAAGTTGACGTATAAGTCTGAGCCAAAAACGTTCACTATTTTAACCCTGTCTATGCTGTAGCACGCCCGCTTGTTTTCACGTCTCATTTGTTCCAAAGCGCGACATAGATCACGTGATACTTCTTTAAATCTCGTGCTTAGGGCCAAGCGTACCCCCCTTTCAATCAGCCAATCAAGGTGCTCGAGGTGTGCGCATACTCACAAGTAAACTGCAGGCACCGCCCGTCGGGACGCGAGGAAAGGCGGAGCTTCGCAACTTTCTCCACTTGTGGCTGTCGACGGTGGACGACAGGACTGTTAAGTTAAGGTTATGTGCTTTAAAAGAATATCTTGACCCCGTGTGAGGGTTCGGTTTTATATTTCACTTTTGTGGGACACCTTGATTAACCAGCCGGCAACATGGTAAGTGAGCTCCACGCGTGCGTAGTCACGATAAAAAGCTAGCATCACCTGTTTGCACCTGTTGTCGCTGACAGGTTGTTAGCATCAGAAACCTCCTAACAACGTCATCTCTATCCGGTTATTTGATATAATTATTTTTTTTTGGGATAAACATACGCCATGCTTTCTACTTGTAGTGAGCTTTTGTTGTGTTTAAAAAAATAAATGTGGAGGGGAAAAAAATATACACCAACTATAAAACAGCAAAACAGGTTTGGTCACTTGGCCGTGTTGTCCTCCTTCATTTGCCTCTCAGCTGAAACTGATCTTTTTGTCGCTTTCTTTTCTTTTTTTTTTTAATTGCCTCCTCCACACTTGACATATGATATACATTTAAAATTAAATAAACGGTTGCAATAAAATGTTAGTCATAAAATAACACATTTTACTATCTCATGTGGATGAATATAATAAATACTCTATTAAACACACCGTCGTGATTCACTGCAGTTCGAGATTGTTGTAGAAACAAAACTATATTACATAAAAGCCAAATTGGGTAAAGGTAGAAATCATAATACTGCTCTCATACTGAATTTCAATACATTACACAGTATTCAATAAGTGTGTGTTTTTGCATTGCATATTTGATTACTGTGAAAAAATATACAATACATTAAGTAGGGATGTGCTGATATTCTACTGCCTGTATTCATACTTATAAAATTGCTCAAATACTACACACCGATACTACTTAACCAGCCAAACAAGTCTGTTTCGGGTAGGACATCCACCGTGTGCCGATACATTAAGGACACAGATGACATGACAACATTTTTGGGTGAAAAACGGCAAATAATGGATGCCCCATCCCAAGAAAACTTTAGAATGGGCCTATATAAATAGTTTTTACTGTTTACAGGACACATGCTTAACTCCTGATTATTCTACACACCACACATTCCAAAATACATATTCCAAAAACAGGGTAATAACATCAATGAGCACGAAAAAATAGCATTCTAATACGACGCGAACGCCTCAGTTATGCTTTTTATTAGGTTGTCCCTGTGGAGGTGTTGCTATCATTCAAATGTTTGTTTGGACAGTCAAGTTGTTCTTTAATAAGCCATGGCACTGGCAGAAAATGCCTTGGTTAATTTAGTTAATAATGTCCTCAAGTAAACGGGCGTACAACTACTTTTGTGTCTCTATTGGTACGGGGCCTGCGTTTGCCCCTCTGACCAAAACCACCCGCCCCGTTGTCCTCGCTGTGTGTCCCGTGTCGTCAGATGCGCTTCCTGCTCCTCTTCAGTCGCCAGGGCAAGTTGCGTTTGCAGAAATGGTACACGCCCATGTCTGATCGGGAGAAAAAGAAGATCATCAGGGACATGACCACAGCCGTGTTGGCACGGCAACCGCGTACCTGTAACTTCCTGCACTGGAAAGACCTGAAGATTATTTACAAAAGGTGGGTGGGCCCTTGCATTCTTTCTTTACAGCCACTTGCAAAAGCGACTGTGCCTGTTTCTTATCTTCTCTTTGATGCATACTCTGACTTCATAATGGGTCACCTGACTAACTAACTGACTTACTGACCTTATTCTGTCCCTTTTTCCCCCTTTTTAGATATGCAAGCTTGTACTTCTGCTTGGCTATAGAGAACCATGAGAATGAGCTGCTTGCTTTGGAGGTCATTCATCGCTACGTTGAGCTGTTGGACAGATACTTTGGCAATGTATTTTCTTGTTTGCCTTCTTTACTTACTATTCAAGCAGCAGTAGTCGTGTGGACATGATACGCACTTCTATTAGAAACAATGACGATCAGGATAATAATAATCTGTTCTTGGACACACGTGATTTTAAAACGAACATTTTCATTCAGGGTTATTATATTTGGTGCACAGCAATTTCCTGCCTATTCTTGGTAAGGTATTTGTAAATTCACCTATTTGCATTTTTTGGGGCACCTGAATCTATCCTTTATTTGCAAAAAAAAAAAAAAAATTTATGTTTTTGTGCTCTCTCTGTAATGCCCTAAAATGCCAGAAGATGGCGCCAAGCCCCGTCTAAAAATCTTTCACGACGAATGATGAGATAAACATCTCATTTTTGCTTAACTCGGGGCCCCTTTTTTTCCTGAAAAAGTTGTTTTGTGTTCACTATCTTGGATTATCTGAAATAATCCGTGGCCCTTTTCTCCCAGGTGTGCGAGCTCGACATAATCTTTAACTTTGAGAAGGCCTATTTTATCTTGGACGAGTTCCTCATGGGAGGGGAAATCCAGGAAACCTCCAAGCAGATTGTGAACCGCTCCATCGAAGCCTCAGACATGTTGCAGGAGGTGAGACGCTCCGGCGCACCGCACAACAACACAAAGTGGCTCGCAACTGTGGCACGAGTGCAGAGCATCTGTTATTTGCGACGTGCGAATCATTAACAAACAGCAGCCACGAAGGCAGCCAAATGCAACGCCGGTATTTCTAATCAACCGCTTCCATGTCACTCGTCACACATTTTTGAGCTGTTAGAAATCCCCCCGTCTGTCTGTTCAATCAGAGTAGCAGGTGAGACTTATCCAAAACTATTTAGCATCATTTTGAACCACTAAACTGCATTTGCCTCAGTGTAAGTATTGCAATACATTACTGCACATCTCTATTTCATCCCACCCTCTAAGACGCACATTTAAGCGGCATTTACATGGACAGCAATTACCTGATGCCTAATACCCCGATAGCTGCTTAAAGAGATATTGACTGAGATTTTTTATTTATTTTTTTTTTTAACGCGTCTAATTGAGTCTATTTCCTGACAGTGCTCACGAATGGAATATTGCTGTCCATGTAAAAATTGCCGCCGACATGTACAAGGTGACGGCAACACCAGTCACACACAGTTGCGGCTTGTTAAGAAGAACGTGTTTGAATCTGCTGCGGACTGGCTTCGGTTAAGCTCGGCATACACTACTAGACCAACAAACTGGTTTGATTTGCACAGTGTATGCCCAGCTTTTGTCTACGGGCCTCTCTCTAGTAATCTCCAGGTGGCATCAGTTTGACTCTTTTGTAAACATGAAATAAAATGTTTGGGTCTGTGTGTTGGGTAGATGATTTCTTGGTTGTTCAATTCCCTTTGAAATGACTCGTGAGACTAAAAATGCCATTGTCACTGACGAACAAAAAACAAACAAAACATATTTGGGATATTTGAACACACATTAAAATACTTATTACAGTATATAAAAATGTATTTTTCATCCTCTTTAAAGAATGGCTAATATTACTATTACCTTCTGAGCAATTGTGACCAGTTCCCCCATGTATATCATATTCGTATTTCTGTATTATACTGCGCCCTGGTGGATAAAGTACACCCACCAGAAGGAGAAGCACAATGCCCATTGAATTGAAGGACCAAAATAAGGCAAAAACGGTTGATTTAAAAAAAAAAAAAAAATTCACTCCATTATAGAAAGCTTTTTATTTTTATTATTATTAAAAAGAGGCTGGAATCGATGAATGAAGTTCTTCGCGATTATGTTCTGTTACCCCCCCTCCTCCCAGGAAACAGAAAACATTTTGCAGCCCCTACAACTCTCCGCTCTGACTTTTAGGTAGTATCATTTGTCCAGAGTCCAACATGAACAGCGGCCCCTGGGCCCATCACGTGACTGTGTTGCGCCACTTGAAATTCCACCAGTACACACACACACACACACACACATATATAATAAACTCCAATCATTGTCACAGCAGAGAATGAATCGCCCAAGCACCAATGACCCAACTTTTTGTGTTTATGTTTATCTTCCTGCGCGGTAGCTTTCCTACAAGGTTTTGCACTGAGCTCCGGCATGGGAACGTGTTGTTTCAGCGTAGTCGTGCGAATGTGAGCGCCTCCAGTAGTCAGTGTGATGGTCCAGTTTGATTAACGGTGGTGCTGCTGAGGTCTCCCGTTGCTTCTTGTTTGCTGTTGCGCGTGTGTGTTGCCTGTTTTTTTTCCCCCCAACACTTGTGCGTGTGCGTCGCTGTCGCCATCTCTCTTTTTCTGTCTGTCTGTCCCTGCCAGTGTTAGTCGCGAGCGAGAGACAGATATTGCGTGGGAGGGGGCGCTGTGGCGTAGGTTTGGCGACCCTTCCCGCTCTGTGCGGTCAAGTGGTTTTCTTGGGTGTGTTCTGCTTCTCAGTCAGGCTCGACTAACACCTTGAATTTGGAATTGATGCCGTAGCCGTAGGCTCCCATTGATTTTGATCATTATCGCTTCAGGATGGCAGCAATGATTGGTATGAGGTGGAGCTGTTTGGACCTTGAATATGGACAGACAGGTTAGATGTTCTGCTTGTGTTAGTGACTGTGTGTCCGGTGTTCTCAGCACCTTTTTAATTCCAGGTGATGTGTAAACACGTGCCTCTGAATATTCATCCTATCACACAATTGAGCATTAAGACCCTCGGAAGGTGATTTATCCTCTCTTGTGTGCTTTTTCTTCTTTTCTAGACAATGGAGGAGTATATGAGCAAGCCGGCATTTTGACACAAGGGGCAACGTAAGCAAAGGACCAAAAAAAAAAAAGAAATGCAGCGATGACACGGAAGCCGGATTCATTTTGATCCTGCGAAACATTGAGACGCAAGAAGTCTTCATTTCCAAGAAAATTGTCTCGGTCCTGTAAGTTGCTTGAAAGTGAAAGAGGTGAAAAAGATTTTACAGGTGTGGTAAATGTTGTTAATGTATTGGAATTTAATCGTGTGATAATTTAAATAAAAAGTCTATTTAACACAATTATTTCATGTCCAACGGCAAAAAGTCCATTGCCGAATGAAGTGTTGAATCGCTTTGTAATCCGTTTAATCTCAGATTGATTGTGCCGCCGTTATTCTAAGAGCTGTTGCTCGTGTGGGTGTGATTTTTTTTTTTTTATATCTTCTAATTAAATTTGTATTTTGATAAATCAAGTCACGGTGAAGATTCCTCTGAGGGTTTTTTTTTTTAAATAATAAGCAACACAACTCAGCAAGAAGAAAAATAATACCGCTGATGCTTTATTCATCTGTGCTTCATCACACATTATTGAGCATGTACAAAATGGTTTAAAAATGAGCATACGTAGCACAACCACTGGTAGGCTGACAATGCAGAGCTTTGCGGTATGAAAGCGATCGGAAGGCAGGCTGATATTGAGACTGGTAAATAACGATCCATAATCATGATAACAACAACTTCACAAACCCTGAATATGCGCGGAGCCACGGCAGCGATCATTCCAGTCGTCTTGAATTGAAAATAACCTCGATTATATTCTCAAATGTTAGGAAAGCGCTGGGATCTTTTAGAGGCTGTCACAGTTTACATATACTTCAATTTAACAGAAGTCAATTCCTTTTCAAGATAATCTAATCTGTTTCGACAAACACAATGCAAAACTTGAACAGTGTCACAAGACTCAATTATAGACTTTTTATTGGATATTGATACTGGTTGAGAATTTTCGGATTAGTCAAAGTTGCAAACCCTGTCTTTTGAATATGTTGGTCTCATTTCCTATGATGTCACTATATTTCTATAATGACCTTGCAGCAAATAGGGACTAAATGTACAGTGTGTGTGTGTGTGTGTGTGTGTGTGTGTGTGTGTGTGTGTGTGTGTGTACGTGCGCGCGCGTGTGTATGTACAATAAAATTTGTAAACTAGATCACATCCACCATACAGAAAGTTTAAATACTCTAATCATAGCGTTTACATTCCAGCCACGGCTTTGTCACGGTGCTCCTCCCCTTCTTCTCCCCCCGACGTGGCGCCTGCAACCGGGGCGGAGGTCTTGGCCCTCATCCCCTCCTCCTCCTCCTCCTTGCTCTGCACCTCAGTGTGCTTCTCTTCCTCGGCCTCCCTCTTGGCCACCGGTCTGCGCCCAGAGTCCGCCTGGCCCAAGTAGTCCTTCACGGCCCTCTCGTACAGCTCATAGGGGAAGTGGCCCTTGGTCTGCGCCTGGGTGTCCCGCTTGGCGATGCCATCGGGCGGGTACTCGGTCAGGATTTTGGCCGCCAGATAAGTGGTCACCTCGTCCTCCACGTCGCCGTCGTCATCGGCGTCGCCGTCGTCAACCTGACGTCGAAAGGGCATCTTGTTGAGCTCGGACAAGAACAGATTCTCCCTGCGTCCGGCCGGAGGCGGGATTTTGACCGATCCCGCGTTTGGATCGGGGTTGCTCCCCGCTGGGATCCTATCCGAGGACGTCTTGATGGGTCTGGGCATCACCGGATACTCGTTACTGATCGTCTCCACGCCGATGATGTCCAAAAAGTCCTCTCGGTCCATGTCCTCGGGGGCAGCGGCTTTGCTCTTCACGGGCAGTCTTCGACTGAAGTAGCGAACTTTTGGGGTTTGCCCGGTCGTGTAGCGAGACGAAGGGGGCAGCGGGTTACGGTGGAGCTTCCGGAGCTCCTCGGTCAGCAGCATGTCGATGAGGTCCTGCGGGGGGACGTGGATCTTCAGCGACAGCTCCAGAAGCTCCTTCAGCGTACGAGGATCCACAATGGAGGGACGGATTAGCCTCTTACGTTGCTCTCCAGTCTGGTCCCTCTTCTGTGTCTGATCGGTCATCTCCAGAACTTTAAGGAGGTAGTAATCGACCAGCTTGGTGTCGTCGTTGGCATCCTCCTGGTCCTGACCCGAACGTCGCTGCACTTCCTCCCCGTCTTCGTCCTCCTGATCCCCGAGGGCCCTGTCAGCTTCCTCGTGGCTCCCGTTCACCATCTCTTCGGTCTCCTCTCGTTCCTCCACGGGCACCCACTCCTCTCCAGGGGCCGCGTCGTCTTCACCCTCCTCGTCTTCATCGCCAAAGACGTCTCTCTTCTGCCCTGCAGACATGGGCATCCTCTCCAGCTCCTCAAAGATGGAGCGGAGGTTGGCGAGGCTCTGGGGTGTGTACTTCTGGTCCAGATCCTCTGTAGCCCGCTTGGAGGCGTCCGTATTCTCCTCATCCTCAAACATCAGCGGGTACTTCTTGTGGGGCCTCGGGTAGTTGGCGTAATCGGCTGGTGAGCTCTGAACGGTTTCTGCGCCTTTGGTGCGATGCCTGTGTAGGCGGCGGTCATTGCGGGGCGTCGATGCGGGGCTGAGCTTGGCCTGATCCTGGAGGGACTTGAGCAGGGATCTCATCAGCTGTTCCGCAGTGACGTCCTGGCGCTCCGCGGGAGCCTCGTCCTCCTCCTCCTCCTGCTTCTGCCGCTGTTGCTGGGAGGCCAGCTGAAGCAACACTCTGAACTTGTCCACTTCATCGTAGTCAGAGGGCGCGGGTCCGGGGCGACCCCCGTTACGCTGCTTCAGGTTCTCGATGTACTCCAGAGCTTTGAGCAGGTCGGAACCGGCCGGCTGGCCTTCGTCACCGTCGCCGCCTCGGAGACGGAAGTGGCGGGGGAGAGACGCAGCCTGCACGCCGCATCCGTGGAGGAGGACGGCGAGCAGGATCACGGCTGCCCCCGTGGGCAACTTGTGGTGGAAATGCAGCATATTATAGGCAAGTGATCCCCTGTACACAGAAAAACAATGCAGACTGTTATCTATCTATCTATCCATCGATCCATCTAACTATTAATTATATCCGTCTATTATATACTAAATATGTTGCTCTTCTTGTGGTTTTGGTTGAAACAGAATGTGAATTATTTTCTTATTCCCTTTTTAAATTCCACTCTCATTATGGTTTGACATTTTTCAAGCTATCTATTCCACCGCACTATTGATTTCATTTTGCTACTGTGCACATTGCTTTTGTTCTTGTTTTCTAACCAAATATCACTTGTCAACTACCGCGTTTTCATTTGAACGCGTAATCATATCCAACACAACTGGAACATAAAATAATTGATGTTCCTGAGATTTTTTTTTCATGATACATGATGCATCCCTATATATATATATATATATATATATATATAGGGAGGAATTTCATAAATTAATTACATTTTTTGCACCACCCATGATAAATTAGGAGACCAACATACTGGGAAAAACACCCCTGAATATGGTATAGATGTTTTTCATTGTTCGTCGTCCTCCTCTTAAGATCATCTTATCACACAGTGGTTAAATTCTCCCAAATATATCCTCCTATTTTCCATTTATCTGTGTATCCAAACGTTTGCACAGGAAGCGTTCGTTTCTATCCAGCCATCTTCGATCAAATCTCTGCATGACTCATTCCTCGCGTTGAGAGGAGCAAAGACGAGGTCTAATTGGACGGCGGCGTAAAAAAACTAAACAAAAACAAACAATCCCATCCCAAGCTGTCTGAGGTTTTCATTGCAATAATCCATATCAACAAATGTATGACGAGTCTGATTAATTAAATGCAATCTATTTGGGGGTCGATTTCGTAAGTGGAATTAGTCAGAGAAATGCGCGTCTTACCTTTGGAAAAAAAAAAACCCCGATCAGACAACAGTGGAGGTGTTGGGCATGTCCTCTTGCAGCTTTATGTTGTGTTGTGAGTGCAGCAGTCGGAGAGCTCCTCCGCATATATGAGAGGACACCTGACCACTGCGTCATCGCAAAACGCACGCACGCAAAAGACGGCCCCGCCCCGCCTAAAAAAAAAAAAAAGAACCATATAAATGATTCACGTTTTTATGGCATGGCATACCAAAAAGCTCGCAGTATTAAAAATAGCCTCCCAACGCTGTCTGTTGCACGGTGAGAGCTATTGATTGTCCATAAAGACTCCGGATGCATGCGTATTGGAGCTGACGCTTGGCTCTACTGGCACTGCGTGCAAGACAAAGGAGAAATAGCCATATATCCCCTTTTTGGATTAAAAATACATTTACATTTAGGGTGCAGTGACTTGAATGGAAAACAAAAATAATCTTGCATTGATTCCCCCAGATGGGATACTCCGTGAGGGTAAAGTAAAAAAAGAATATAAAAGGAAATAGTTTAGATCGATAGAACGTGATAACACAGAGAAGCAGAGTAGAAACAAGCATTGATGAATGTTCATCAATATTAGTACCAACCAAACATTTTAGGGACATTTTTATCATCTTTATGCAAAGTTACATTTCCTTCTGTATCTTAAGGTAGCTAAGGAGTTAAACCCTCCAGCATGACTCACAGGCGCTGTCGCAGTTCGGCAGACACCCCCCTCCTCCTCCCCCTCTTTTCCTCCTCCTCCTCCTTCTTCTTCATCCTCCTTTTTCTTGAGATCAGCCAACCAGACGGTGATAAACAGCCTCCGGTTGACTCGGGGCCAAAGCTGCGACACTCCCACTGGTGAGAAGATGGCGACGCAGCGTGCCGCCTGCCAGATGAGGGCCACGCATGCGGAGAGTGACAAGATTGATGGTGAGCTCCTACAGGCTCCTAAAGAGCACTTGTTTCCCTAAATAGGATGGAGGCTGGTCATCAAACGTAGCCTCACGTCACCTATGCAGAAAACTCCATCCATGCATTTTATACGGTGCTTGTCCTCAATAGGGTTGCAGGTAGTCTGAAGCCCGACTTCCTCCTGCATTTCAAAAACATGCACATTAGGCTCATTGACGATCTCACAAAACCAAGGACAGCCCTTACATTTGTGTAAATATTATTTTCAATGGACATAAACTCAAGCTCTGCATACACACACACACAATTGAAAACAAATGAAAGAAACAACATCTCTAAATTGGACCCAATTAGTTCGGTTGACTGAAAACTAAATTAGCCATAGGTGTGATTGTGAGCATGAGTGGCTGGCGACCAATCCGACCCCAATGAAGCGCTACAGAAAATGGATGCGTGGCTCTTTTATAGCCCTTTGTCGTCCATTTTTTATTGCAACACTGCCTGGTTTTAGAATGCCATTTGCATCTCTGTCTAGTCCATTAGCGCCGGTGGAAAAGTCAAAGGCCTCTCTTCATCTGCTCCTTTTATCTTATCATTGGATGAAGAAAAAAAAAAGCAAGATTTATTTATTTTTTTTAAACTTGTCATCAGCCTCTTGCCTGGGATGTCAAAGTGCAGATTTAAATCAATAAAAAAACGACAGCGAGTATGTTTCGGAAACTGTTTTCCAGTCCCACAGCCATGACATCACGTTCCTCTTTCTGCGAATGAGGCAGCAAGCAAATCTTTCCCTGCTTGCGTTCTCGATTGGCCATTAGCAGATTGCTGCATTGTGTATGTGCTGACATACCAAAATAGAAGGAAATGCTCACTAAAGGCTCAGGCAGCCATTGATGCGGCTGTTGTGCGAGAGTAAGGATGTATTGCAGAGCCTTATTGGCAATACTTACGCCCACATTCATTATTACTCACTAGAGGGTACTTCACTGTACCAAACACCAATCAATTATTTATATCGCACTTTTCATATAAAAATGTGACTCAAAGCGCTTTCCATATGTTAAAAAGAAGGCCTCAATGTGTGTGTGTGTGTGTGTGTGTGTGTGTGTGTGTGTGTGTGTGTGTGTGTGTGTGTGTGTGTCCTGATTTTCAGAATGGTTAAAAAGGCCGGTGACGGACAATCTCAGCGCACCGATGACTCAGTGGTGTGTTTTCATCATGTGGCATTTTCTCTTCCCTAATGTATAAATTCATGGTGTTGTTTGAGTCCCCCTCGAAGGACAAGGATCTTTTCATCCATGGGTTAGAAATGAAAAAAATGTAAAAAGTGAATCTCAGAAGTCCCCGTGGTGGAAGAGGAACTGGTCCTTTGAGGCCTTTGAGGGGTGTCTAATGAGCTGTCATTCCATTCAGGCTTCAGAGGATAGTTTAAAAGATCAAACGATACCATGAACAATTGCCAAAATTAACGTTCTAAACGGTGTGTGTAAAATAACATCGTTTTTCAAAACCAGAATTGGGTGAGCCGTCATTTCTGCAACGTGGGAGATTATCTGCAGATATCTTTTTTTTTTTTGCGCTAAATAAGTCAGCTGTTTGCCTCCAAAGAAAAAGAGAACTGCTGGCGAGAGTCTTAATCGGAAGCTTGATCGTATCCCGCTGAAAAAAAAAAGGATATAATCACTAAACATGAAAAAGCAGCTAGTATTTGTGATCTTGCGGCGCAGCTTCATATCTGAACTACATTTTTAAGGTGTGGCGCAAGTGGCGAGGAAGCAACCACCTTAAATTAGAGAAGAAGAAGAAACACTCTGGTGGTAGCGTGAGGGATTGCACAATGATTTATTCGCCGACATATTGTTATTTCTCCATATATAAGCGCGTTTGTACTTTTTTCTATTTTGTAGCGCATGTATTTTTAACTGCACATTAATAAAAGCAAAAGAGACATAACTCCCTTCTGGGCTGGAACGGGTGAATCCCTTTTCCATTTATTTCAATGGGAAACACTGCTTCAGTTCACAAATGTTGTTTGAGTCTGCAAACAAATTTAGTCCACAAACGGAGGTTCCGCGCTTCCCCCCCACAAATGGGTCTTTTAAAAGTTGGGTTTCATATTTGTGTTTGAAGGACACGAGTCAAGAATAGATTGAAGCATTTATTTTGGAACAAAAAGTCATTCAAATGTGAGTAACTGTGAACGGAGGGATGGGCTCATGCTGATTTGTTTGTTTTCATCCTCATCTTCACCCCCTGCCCCCACCACCACCACCAAGCCGCCCACCCACCCAAGGAACCATGGAGAAGAGAGGAGAGAATGGCACACCCGTTGTCATGGCACATCTTTTCATCCCACGTCTCCATGGCGACGCCGCCTCACGGCCTTTCAATTGCCTCCACCTTTTGTTTCTTTGCACGGGTTTGCGTTTATGTTCCTCTCCTCCGACCGGCACCTCCTCTCCCAATAGAGTCGCTTTCTTTGCTGATGCACCAATTATGGTGCCGGAGACATTGTGTTGCCTGGGCTGTCGGAAGGGAGAATGGAGCATTAATTGAGTGCCCGTTTGGAGCAAATTAGGCTGGGAGAGAGATTCAAGCAGATGAGTGGGATGAAGGCGCAAAGTGTGACTCTGCGGGCATATCCTGTATGAAAAGGCCACGTGTCCATGTACTGTCAGAAAAAACAGTGAGAGGGGACATATTGCTGCATTAATGAGATCAATCAGGCTTCTATGCCTTTCACCACTAATGGATATATAGATATATATTTTTTAACGAAGTTGCCTCCTATACACTTGTGAGGTATATATATATATATTTTTTTTTAACGAAGTTGCCTCCTATACACTTGTGAGGTGTGCGGCATATGCAAGATAAAGATGGCTAACATTGTGCTAAAAGATGACCATTTGCCACAAAAAAGAAATAAACAGAATAAATATTTTCTTTCTAATCAAAAATATACCTCTTTAAAAATACAAACGTCGCTAACACGGAAACATTCTCGCAACAACATGTCTATTTCAATTCTACTAGCTAAGGTAGTTTACTTATAGTCAACCAGCTAGTCTACTTCTAGTCTACAAACTAATCTACTTCGACTCTACTGTTTTAACTAGTCTACGTCTAGTCTACTATCTATAGTAGTTTATGTCGAGCCATATCACACCGTCCCAATCGAATTGAAGTGCTGACCTTTGACTTGGCCACCCCAAAATCTTCATTCTTTATTTTTTTAGCCATTCAGAGGTGCACATAGAAACACCAACGACCATTTTTGTTTGATTTTCAGCACCTGATTTCCTGTTTTTGCTGGAAATTAAGCCTTACTTCAGCCCTCGAGGTCCACTGTGCTGCATTTTATTCTGGAATTGGTTTCTAGCACTTTAAAAGGTCATCCATGGGGGGTTTGTTCATGAACTGACTGCACAAATTAATTCCTGATTGCTTCTTGTAACTTCAATGTCTTCAATGGTGGTTCTTGACATGACTGTTTTGTTTCTTTTTCATGGATGCGCGTTGGCGGGCGAGCGGCCTCCTCGGTGCTCTGGCTCATCCCTTTCAACGGTAACGACGCCGTTGCATACGGCGATGCAAACGGATTATGTTAGTGTCTATGAAGGGCGAGGGGAGGGCAGGAGGAGGGGAGCGCGGTGGGCGTGTGACGCACACGCACTGACGTCATTGGAGCCGCTCAGGCGCGATGCATTTGGGATGAAGGAACAATGTCACGCTGAGGGAGCATCATTAGAACGTTACGCTGTCATTCATTGAAAAGCACTCTATTTATAACAGCTCGCGAATGCACCACCGTGTGGATTTGCATTTGAAGTGACACACATCTCAATGAAGTTGTGTCTTATGAACACTTGCACAATATGAAATACTGTATTCGGCCTTTAAAAATGTTTTACTGCTCAGTTTTGGTTTGTAGTCCCCTCGATTTACGAAATGAATTGGTTCTTGAAGAAATTTTTTAAGGAGAACATTTTGTAGAGACGTGTTTTCCATGCAAATGCGGTCGAGGTCCCTCTTAGCCAATGGGATGCCAGGAAGATGTTCGGTAGTAGCCAATGGCAGAACAGCTATTAGTATGTTGCGTTCAGGAAACTCGGAGCTGCGACTAAATACCCACACTGTATCTTTCGTATCTTGAAAATTTCGGATGAAGAGACGTTCGTGAGTAGAGGCACCACTGTATTATTATTATTATTTAAGGACTAAAAAGGAATAAGTTAGATCATGCAGTTGCACATCTCATAAGCAGGGCTGTTCAGAACGAGACAATAACATTCCACCTCAAATGGCCTGTGCTGCAAGTGTGTCAGGACAATCTACTAGAACAGTTGAACTTTATTTGGGGATGTTGAGTGTCACATTCTGTCTGTTTTGGTTGTGTTCCAGCTCCAGCTGGAGTGAAGGGCGTTTCCCTCCAGCAGGCGCACCTGTTCCGCGTTTCCCCATCAAGCCTTGCATAACAGACCCTTTCGATATCTTTCACAGTCGCTCCTATTTTCTCTTGGAACTTTGTAAGTATTTTCATTATTCCTTTTTTTTTTAATCGTTCTTGATCTTTGGTTTCACATTATTGGACTTTTGATATTTCATTTGTGTATCCTCGGTGTTGTCTTGTACCTTGCCTTTGCAAGCGCTTTTTTTGTATTATGCATTGTTTTTACTCCTGGCTCCTTGTGACCAATTTAATTGAAGAGGTTAGAGTTGTGATGCATCTCGCTTGAGAATCAGAAGTATGCGCTGCACTTTTTCTACTTCAAAGTCTGTGTATTATTGTTCCTTATTTGATTTGTGATTGTTTTAAAAATATTTTTTGTTGAGCTTTTACCAACATACCGTGATGTTTATCATCTTGCACACACAGAAATAAACAAAAATAAGACCAAACCTAATACTAAAACTAATAAAAGCTATACTAAAATGAAGCATTTTTGAAACAAAACAAAACCTAAAACGACTAAAAGCCAACAAACCCAATGAAACAAATTTTAAAAATCACATTTACCAAATAGAAACTTGCTCTGCAACACATCAAAGCTGAAATCTGATTCCACGTTGAAAAAAACAAAAAAACACACAAATGTAGCTGTACAGCCAGCTAAGACACACACTTTGACATGACGATGAATTACTGTTGGAAATAAAGGACAACCATTTCATGTCGGCTCAGTCGCAAATGTAAGCCAGAAGCTAGCAGGGATGGCCATGAAGGCTTGAGCGCCTGACTGCAAGCCACTCTGCGTTGCTTCCTAGTTGTACCTCATCCACATTCGTCACGGTTAAGTCTGGCACACCCAGTGGCTGTTTTGTTTCTGTTCTGCACGGTTTTCGACCAAGTGCCAATCCTTGCCTTTCTCCGTAGTTCATCCTCTCAACAGAATTTCATTCATCCACGCCCACAGGCCTTCATTTCGCCTGCTCTTTGGCCTCCTTCCAACAAGTTCTGCTTCCTCCCTCTCAGCGCTCGCTTCTCCCGCCACTCCCCGTTGGCTGCGTGATGATGCTGTCCTCCACCTTCCAAGTACCCCCACCACCCGCCCCCCTTCATTGATGCTATAAATACCCACCATCGGTGAGTCATCGTCCAGACGTATCGCGCACCCCCCCCTTCTCTCCTCCCCTCATCTTTCTCTGTAGCTGTCTCTTCATCATCACTGCTCCTCTTCACATGTTAGTTCATGCATATTAACAGACCTCGTTTTCGCACCTTCACGTTAGCCCAGGCAAGAGCCAATGCCCATCATGGTGCCAGAGGGCTTAACCGAAGGTCACTTTGTCACAAGGCGAAAGAAAACTACAGTTTGAACAAGCATGCTCATTTTTAATTGCCCTGCACCTGTACACTATATTAGATTATTTTTTTTGTTCCCCATGAAGCCGTTCAACGCCTCCCCCGAAAACATTTCATGTTTTTAGTTAAGAAAAATAGCAGAGTATTGTACAAAAACAAAGTGCATTGACCACTGTGGCACTCCTTGCCCACAAGGTGGGACATTAGTACCCCCCTCCCCACTTCACACAACTCAGTCTTGCTTTTGGCAGCCATTTTAGTCTTTTTTTGGATCAAAATGCACAGTCGGATTTTAGTCAGCCCTTTATGTAATTTAACGTGTTTTTGGTCTAGTTTTAGACACGCATATTTGAGTTAAAATTGAGAATAGTTGATCATCCGCAAAGAGCGGCCCATTTTACTGAGCAATTGTGACCTTCTTCAAAAAAAGTTCTGTATTATCCTGTTTCAACAAGGCAACACTTTATTTCAACACCTGGCTGTGTCTTCATCATGCCGACAATATTAAAATATGTGAATACAGACAACCACCCAACAAGGACGTTTTAGGGCTTGTACTTTAGCCCTTGGCTAGTCAGTGGAAAAATGACCTCTGCTCTCCACTTTATTGTCACTTTTTTCCCCCGCAAATCCCAGTTGATCCCTTTTGCTCTGATTCACCCCAGCCGGATCCCGGGATTTAATTATGGTTTCCTCGAGCTGACACCCACCCGCTCTCGAGGAGCTATCCTTGGTTAAACTCCAATACGGGGCTCGAGATGGCGCATGCGCGAGCGAGTACCTCTGAGTCAGAGGAAGAGAGAGGGCAGGGAAAGGAATTTGGACTCGTTACATTTGTAGTGGGGGGACCACCGCATTTATTCAATATGGATGATGTCCTTCCTTTTTCCCTGCGCTTTTAGTGGTGCGCTCACTCTGCTCATGTCTCATCTAGTGGGGACATTTACAACATATTAAAAAAAAAAAAACAAGTATCATTAGAATTTCCCATACAAGTTTAAGAAATCTTGTTCATATTACATTTGCAATACACGCCCATGAAATTTAGTCTATTTATCGTTTGTCTTTTTTAAAATCTTTAATTATGGCCTAAAATTCTATGGCTGTTTCAGCCAATATGAATGAATGATATACTTGTATATCTCCATCATGAAAAGTGTGCTTTTTGTGAAACAATCGTCTATTTAATAGAGATTCTATTAGGCTCTGATTGAAGGACGCATCTTCGAACGGCGTGTTCTAACCATCGATATACCGCACGCACGCACACACTCTCAATGGCCTTTGTTGCCATAGGAACACCAGTTTCAGGATGATCGCAATCCGAGCGGCTGGTCACACGCCGCGCCTCAAAGGAACAAAGAGCACTCAACTTTACAACACAAACTTTTAAACATTTTATTCCATAATATTCAAAGCCAAATCACAGAAATAAGGAAGGAGACACTTGTTTGAGGGGACCCCTTCCCTGCCCCCAGACATTAAGAAAGCGGACTATTAAATACTGTACAGCAATCATCTGCTTATTCATTATTCATAAATTATTATTATTTTTTTAGTCAATGCTCCATTATATCCTGAAAATTGAACTCGTTATATTTTTGGGACTCTTTCTCTAACACTCCAAGATGCGGCCATCTTGGTGACAATGAAACAATTTTCAGTGAATTAAGGCGCTTCATTTAGATAAAAGTATTTTGCTGCCAATGTGAGGCAATTACAGAGAATCCATTTTTGGGGTGGGCATCAATTGCTCTTTTACTTATTGACCTCCTATTTTCACTATGGTGAAGTCTTAAATCTCGATTGAGATTTGCGCGGGGGGTGGAGCTAAGTTTAGCCTGGGTTGTTAGTGGAGAGTCTTCAATTGTGTACGTACACACATTTTTATTCGACATAAAATGTACTTATAAAGAACGTGAGCTTGAAAAGAAATTGGACTTCTGATGTCACATTCGTAGGAGCCCCAAAGACAAGCTCACGTGTCAGAAGGCAACAAGAATATAGAAGCAAATATATAGAAAACATAAGTTGCATTCCTGGGTGCTAAAATGTCAGAAATTCATTCCATGATACCAATACATTTTTTTTTGTTCCCTGGCATTATGCCACAAAAAAACGGCAGTAAATCATGTACATGAATTAAAATATGCATTTCTTCAGAACCATATATATGCATTTACTGCATCACACATTATCAATGTTACATGAAATCTGTAAACAAAAACAAAAAAAAAAAACCACAAGTGAAATTAATTCTGTAATATCAAGGAGTGTATGGAAAGCCCGATTGAGTGTATACTAGTCCCCCTCTCTGTAAACTGCGCACTAGTTGACAACTGCGTGTTACTCGTATTATTCGTGAGGTTACAAATTAGACAAGGAAATGTACTAGAAGCGCACAGACGTCAACTAGTGCAGTTTTGCGTCAAGACTAACCTGCAGCTGGCCGACTGGTATTGCCAAAGTTGTGTAGGAGTGTGAAACAGAACAGACATATGGGATACACCTTCCAACGGCTTTCCGCAGGCGTGTGTTCATTTCCTCACGTTCGGTTGCGCACATGCTACGTCAATATTCGCCGTCGACTCAGGATGGGCATCGACGACATTTGATTGAGGGGGATTTAATGTATTTTTTTGAAATATAATTTCAATGGGACAATAGTTTTTTCAGAACTCTGAAAAATTAAGCGGTATTGATTAAGATTTCATTTCACGTACCAGACAGAATTCTTTACCCATAAATTCATCGGTTATGATGTCCATCCCTTCAAGTCTTCAAATACAAACCAAAGCAAAGTAACACACTTACATACACATGCTTTTCAGTGTCTCTCTACATTACTCCTATGTGTTCCTATGTCGTTCTCTTGGTCTTCTATGACACCGCTTGAACACTTTTTAAAAAGTTCAGTGAAGAGATGCCACCTTTTTTTGAAATGTTCCTATGTAATTGAAACTAAAATTGGAGAATAAATATTGCACAATCATTTGTATTATTTATATTCACAGGTCAAAACAAAAAAAAAAAAGATGCATGAGGAGGGAGTATAAATGTCCTTGTACAATTTAGAAAAAACAAAACAAAACAAAACAAAAAAAAGATGCCTGAGGAGGGAGTATAAATGTCCTTGTACAATTTAGAAGAAAAAAAAAAGGTTGTGGGGGGGAAAAGGCAAAGTATTTACAGCACATTCCCTTGGAGACATCCATTCCAATGTGGTAATGCTTAAATGCTTGATTGGTAACTTTAACGTGAAATTTAGGTGATGGGAAGCAAATTTCCTATAATGTGAGTTTGCCGCAACCGGACGAGAAGAAAATAATGTCAAAAGTTATCCACATGACAAAGCGTATTGCGACATTAAGGTAAAAAGTAAGCTAGTAGTGGGGAGGGAAAAAGGAAGCTAACCTAGCAAGTTAGCCGCAACCCAACACCGCGCATCATGAAGAGAACAGAATGTAGTGATTCAGTCACAACCCAACAAGATTGATTGTAACGTTAAATTATCCGCAACCCGAGAAAATATAGTGTACATTATCTACAACCCGACAAGGCGCCTCATGATGAGAAGACAGCAATAAGTTAGCCATAACCTTATAAAGCGCATCATGACAGAAGGAGCCCAACACGGTAAATCGCAACTCATCAAGGCGCAACATGAAGAGACGCACCACAGCGTGGTAAACTAGCCGCAACCTAACTAGGCATGGCATGATAATGACAAGAACCTAATGAAGGAAGTTAGCTCCAACCCGACACGGCGCCTCATGACGAGACCAACTCAGTGTAGCAAATCGGCTGCAACCCAACAAGGAGCGGCATAAAACACGGTATTCTCCCCAACCCGACAAGGCGCATGACGACTAGAAGAATTTAGGTTACCCGCAACCTGACGGCGCACATCCTGACGAGAACATAACAGCGTAAGTCAGTCACATACCAACAAAGCGGATCATGACTTGAATATAACAAGATAGCCACAACCCAACAAGGTGCATCATGAGAACATAACATCAGCCACATCCCGACCAGGCACATCAAGACAAGAGTAACATAATGTAGTAAATTAGTCGCTAACGGACAAGGCGCGCCATGAAAAACACATATTGTGCTTGAGCCAGCTGCAACCCGACAGGGAACACCATGTTTAAAAGAACATAAGTTATCCAAAGCCTGACTCCATGCTTCATGACGAGAGGAACGTTGCACGTTTGACTAAAGCGACTTCGGGCTTCTCATATTGGAGTGGAATCAAAATGGCACCAAAAGGCCGAAGAGCGAAGTGGTCACTGCGTAGACAGAAGTTTGATGTCCAATCAGTAAACACGTACTCAAGTAAACAAACTTTTGGGACATGAGTTTATCCAAAAAAAAAAAAAAAAAAAAACAAAAACAACAAAATAAACAAACAGAAAAAAAAAAGTCTTTGGGTGAACATAAAAATCACAAATGCGCAAAAGTCGTAAATAAAACATGATGGTGCTCTTACAGTAAGAATAATAAAACCCTCAAATGAACACAAAAACATCCGACTGACATCTCATGGCTTTGCAAGACTTTTTGCACAAAAAAAAGTATATTTACAAGAAGCAACAAAAGCAAAGATTGGAAACCTGGATCCTATTTGGAAATAAAAGAGAATAGATGATCAGAATCATTCCAGTATTGAGCGAGAACAGTGAAATTTGAATATCGCTCACGTCAGGTGGAATCCCTCGAAAATGATCTCTTTTTAGGAACCCCCCCTCCCCCCAAAACATAACCATTGTCAAAGAGCGCAAGCTGTTTCCAACAATTAGGATTGGTTAAAAATCACACTGAAATGTGTGGACTGATCACGCGTATCAATTTGTGGGGAAAAAAAAAAGAAATGCACCAAATTGTGACAAAAGAGGTTTTGGCTCAATGACAGCAATATGCTTTTTACGAAATACCAAGTTTTAAACTTTGTTTTTCTGGTAAAATAGTTAAGCCATATATTTTTCATTAGGAGAAAAAAAAATCACCGCACAATAATGTCACAAAAGTGAAATAAAGGTCAGCTGCCAATTTCATTTTGTGTGTCACCAGCATAGATACTGCGGATGAACAAAATCCCAAAACATAACCATTGTCAAAGAGCGCAAGCTGTTTCCAACAATTAGGATTGGTTAAAAATCACACTGAAATGTGTGGACTGATCACGCGTATCAATTTGTGGGGAAAAAAAAAAGAAATGCACCAAATTGTGACAAAAGAGGTTTTGGCTCAATGACAGCAATATGCTTTTTACGAAATACCAAGTTTTAAACTTTGTTTTTCTGGTAAAATAGTTAAGCCATATATTTTTCATTAGGAGAAAAAAAAATCACCGCACAATAATGTCACAAAAGTGAAATAAAGGTCAGCTGCCAATTTCATTTTGTGTGTCACCAGCATAGATACTGCGGATGAACAAAATTATTGGTGGTGACACAAAGAACAATTAAATGCACTTCAATGAGACAACAGAAAGTACAAAATTAACTAAACGTGTATCGACTTTACTATCACGTTTGAAAATGTAAACTGGGCAAATGTTAAAAATGTCTTGCTTCGGCCTATACCCCTTTTTTTAAAAAAATATTTTCTTTTTGTTCTGTGAAAAAAAGGATGACCCCAATTCACTATCACGTTTGTTTGACATTTTTGTGCAGTGGTGTGCGGTGACATGTTCCAAATATTAAAAAAAAAAAGATCAACACTGGCTCAATTAAGTCCCCGACTCTCGATGTTCTCACTCCGTACTGTCGACTGACGAGATGGCAGAAGGTACAAAATTAACTAAACGTGTATCAACTTTACAATCACGTTTGAAAATGTAAACTGGGCAAATGTTAGAAATGTCTTGCTTCGGCCTTATACCCTTTTTAAAAAAAATATTTTCTTTTTGTTCTGTGAAAAAAAGGATGACCCCAATTCATTATCACGTTTGTTTGACATTTTTGTGCGGTGGTGTGCGGTGACATGTTCCAAATATTAAAAAAAAAAAGATCAACACTGGCTCAATTAAGTCCCCGACTCTCGATGTTCTCACTCCGTACTGTCGATTCTAATTAACTCATTAACTATTGATGAGGCGCCGCTCAGATGGCCACATTTCCGCCTCCGGTTTATTTTGGCCATGGCCACCTATTTGTTTCCCTTCGTGCAGAAGTCCGCGACTGGCCTTGGTTGCCGTGACAACCAAGGCCGAAACGCACCGCTGAGAGCTTGGCGGGAGTGCGAGTCACTGCTTTGTGTGGAAGGTGGATTCTTCCCATGTGTTGAATCAATACCAGGGGTCTGTCTTGTGTTTTTATGGAAATCATAAGGCACCCCCCGCTCCCCCGAAGTCGTTCTTTCAGGGGCCTCGGACCCGCTCGTGTTAGTACATGCCCTCGTTCGTGCGTGTGTGGCCGTGTGTTATTTGCCTCCATACATCCTTGCAATGTCTTCTTGGTAGTGCGTTTTGAGCTCTTTGCGCTTCAGTTTGAATGCGTCTGTGACCAGGCCAGTCTCTGGTGTCCAGGGTTCCGAGCACAGCCGCACTTTTTTGGGGATCTCGAACCGCTCCAGTTTTGCTGCGTGGGGGGAGAGCAGAAGAGGGTTGGTGAACATGACGGTTTTTGAAATAATAACATACAAGGACCAGACAAGTAAAAAAGTATTGTATACATAAACCATGATTATTTGCACTTGGCGTTGTATAGATTTTCTTTCATTTTTTTTATGGAAATTATCCTCTGGCAATTCTAAAAAAAAAAGAAGACAGAAAACCCCCTACATGAGATAGCAGCCTCAGTAAGGATGCGGAGCACTTCCTTCTCTATCTGCGGGTTGTTGCAGATCTCTTCCCACGAGCCCCGCACCTTCATCCGCTCCGCCAGTGCCATCAGCAGTTTATGGTTTGGCACCACGAAGCTAATCACGTACGACTGGTCACTGCAGACCAACATAAAGACGTTTAAAAAAAAAAAAAAAAAAAAACAACACCACACAAAAAAAAAAAAAAACGGTCTGCCTATTTTGTCAAAGGACTTTACCTGTTGGCATAGGCACAGATGTTGTCTACTAACGGGCAGTTCTTCAGAACAGCCTCCACTTTTCCCAAAGAGACGTACTCACCAGCCTGTAGTTTCACCAAGTCCTTTTTGCGATCTGTGGGAAGGTAACATGTCACGATCCTAAAAGGTCCCTCCTCTATATTCTCTGTTCTGTGGTTAAATAGCAGAAATTTGGGAATAGTTGACACCCTCCTTCAAAAAAAAAAATAAAATAAAATAAAAAATTGTAATTGCCTAGAGGTGTCACAAGATGGTGGCAAAGAAATACTTTTCTATTAATTAGAAAGTGAGCTTAACTCCCTTCCCACCAGGCGGCACTTCATCGGTTATTGAACAATTATTCTTAAGGAAAAAATAAAAAAATATTTATAAAAACAAAGAAGTTGCAAACTGTTTATTGCAACTCCGATTTGGAGTTTACTGTCAAATTAAACATAAAAGAGAATTACAAGTTGTGTATTTGCCTTAGAAAATGTCCATTTAGCTTTATACAGCATTTCATTTTCGGTCATGTTAGACTGCCCCCAAGTGGCCTAGTTGTGCACACCAGAAGGAGCAGCAATGAATCATGATGCACAAACCGTTTCGTTCATTACATTCTATTTAATTACGTTAGTACGGTAAAATTTTAATAATATCCACCTAACCCATTCAAAAAAAAAAAAAAAAATTCACCTTTCATTTTCATTCAAACACGACAGCTCATCGTTAACAGGTTTCTCACCGCAATGAATCATGATGCACAAACGGTTTCGTTCATTACATTCTATTTAATTACGTTGTTAGTACGGTAAAATTTTAATAATATCCACCTAACCCATTCAAAAAAAAAAAAAAGATTTCACCTTTCATTTTCATTCAAACACGACAGCTCATCGTTAACAGGTTTCTCACCAATGATCTTGAGACATCCGTCAGGGTGAAACTCTCCAATGTCTCCAGTGCAGAACCATCGCTGGCCTTTCCTGTCTACGAAAAAGTCCTCACGGTTCTTGGTTTCATTTTTGTAG